TAGTAGTAGAAGAAGAAGAAGAAGAAGAAGAAGAAGAAGAAGAACTCAACTTATAATTAACATGTCATATAAAAATGAAACATGTTCGAAGGAGAAAATACGAATTATATCTGATATGTAAGTCAATACCCTCTTTTCTTTATGTCTAGTCAAACATTTTTTTCAATGAACGTATTTTATTATTTTTCTCTTGTTTTTAGAAATAAATAGGTAGAAAAATGAATTGAGAACATCAAGTGGAGCTATATTTGGGCACAAGGCTATTTATTTGGGTCACCTAATAAGGGTCAATATACTGGTCTGTCACAGCTGGCACAGGGCGTTATAACAACGTTGCAGTTGTATTTGCTTTAGGGATATATGAAATTGTGACGACGTTACGGTAACATTGAAATCAAACTATTTGATCCAAAACTGACCGCTCATTTCCATCATTTTCATAGTGATATCATAATGTCGCTAAGTGGTGTAGATAAAAACATTACGCAACGGTCAATTATAAAATCAAAATAGTTTTTCTTTACTTAATGGCCATTCTTCTAGATCGATTTGTACTAATACACGTGTCCACGGTGCTTTATACTTGGATCTACACGACACATCAAAAGTTTTAGGCGAGCCTTGGTATTTTTTTATATTTAGTAATATTTTGTAATAGTAATTATTTTGTTTTTTTTAAATAAGAGAAAATTACTATACATGGTTAAAAAAAAGTGAGACCTGATTTTTTTATTAGAAATTTTATTATAACAAAAAGAAAAAAATATGATTAAATTTAATCCTCATCAAAATATCCTCCATTAGCCTTGATTACAGCAGCATAACATTTCGGCTTTCGTTATAAAAGTTTCTCAAAGTAACAGTTTGATAATTGATTCCATTCTTTTTTCATTGCCTCTAAGAACTCTACATTTTTTTCACTCTTCTGTCAAGTTCATCTTCTGCTAATTCTGTGGGGCGGGTGGCTTCAAAATTTTGAGCTTATTTTTAGTTTACTTTGTTCTTAATTTTCATCCATGACCTTCCTGATGACATCACTTCTCAACTTGATATCTATGCTATGATGGCACAACTATTTAATCCTGTCTGTTGTTTTCGATAAGGTCAAATTGGCAGCTTATCTAAAAAAAAATGCCATACTGTCTCTTTTTAACTGGGACAAAGAATGGCTTAATTTTAATGCCTCCAAAACTAAGCTTTTCTCTATCAGTCACATGAAAGACCACTTCCCACTTCCCATCAGCATGGCTGATGCTAACCTCCATAAAAGTGACCGCTGCACTTTCGCGGGCTTTCATTTTCGGCTGACTTGAAGTGGAAAACTTATATTGAATCCGTTGCGAGGTCTGCTGTTAAGAATGATGGTTCACTGTGCCACGCTAGATAATTTTTCACTGCTGAATGTATTTTACATATTTATAAGCATACCATTCGTCTTGTGCTTTGAATATTGCTGCCACGTATGGTTACATGGCCCTGTTGTATATTTAAATTTTCTGGATAAAATCAAATAAAAATCAGCAATATTATTGGTTTTGATCTGATATTTCGGCATCAGTTAATTTCCAGCTGCCTTTTCTAGAAATAATTTAATGGTAATTGTTCGGATGAACTCTTCGCTATGGCACCCAAACTTTATGAATTTAAGCGCAGTACTAGTTTGGCAACAAGGTCTCATCAGTTTAGAGTTGAAGTGGCTAAATGCAGCCGTAAGTTCTATGCTAACACTTACCCTCTCGCTTGTTGAACTCTCTTCCGTCTGTGTCTTTTAATTCCATGATAATTAATCGGAAGAGCTCTTCGCTATGGTACGTTAATTTTAATGCCTCCAAAACTGAACTTCTCTCCATTAATCATCTGAGAGACGCCTCTCGGCCTTCCATCAGCATGGCTGATGCTAACCTCCCGTAAAATGACACATTGCGCCTTCTCAGGCCAATGTTCTCAGCCGAAATGAAGTGGAAAGATTATATTGAATCTATTGCTAGGTCAGCGGCTAAGAAAGTCGGTTCACTGTGTTCAATTTTTCTCTCCGGAATCTATCTTATATATCTATAAGTCTACCATTCGTCCATGCTTTGAATATTGATGCCACATCTAGTCCGGTGCCCCATTTCTATTTACCTTGAGCTCCTTGATCTAAAGAAGAATCAGCAATATTATTGGTCCGGATCTGGTGGCTCAGATTCAGTAACTTTCCCACCGCTGTCAGGTTGCCTCTCCGTGCCTTTTCTATAAATAATTTCATGGTAATTATTCGGATGAGCGCTTCGCTATGGTACCTAGACTTTTTGAATATAAACGCTGTACTAGACTGGCGTCGAGATCTCATCAATTTAAGGTTGAGCTATGTAGATGTAACTGGAAATTCGATGCTAACAGTTTCTTTTCTCGCACTTCTCGCTTGTGGAATTCACTTCTGGCTCCATGCTTTCCAGCCAACTTTAATCTGCAAAAATGCAATGTCAATTGTTACCTATTTGTCTTCCTGACTACTCTTTTCTCCTCCTGTTCTTTATTAATGTTTCTATTCCTAATTCATCCACACCTTGTAGCTCCTTGTATCTTAGTGGCTTTACTGCCTTGCATAGAGTAATACCGATTAAAAAGAAAAAGAAGATGATTTACAATCGCCGAAGCATAACAGAAACATGAATAGAAAATCAGAGAAACAGAATTTTAAAAATTCTAAGTAATGCGATTATATCAAAATTTCAAATAATAAATCGAAAAGAATGGCAGATATATCGACATGGTCAGGGTTAAGCAGAAGAAACCTAAATAGAGAAAACATTCCTTGATAGCAGATTACATGAATGCCTTAAGCGCTAGCTATATAAAAACAATAGCAAATGAAGACTATGGAAGTATAGATGAGATAATGAATATACGAAATGTGACTATAGCAAATTGGCCTCAAAAGAATAGGCATTATTGGGTGAGGATGGTGACCCGTTAGGAATCTGTGTCAACCTTGTTCTTCAAAAATTTAAATCGAATATCAATCGTGATCTACTGTCCTCCTGATTACTCTTCTATTGTCCTCGCTCCTTAATAATATTTCTCTTATTTTCTTATTTTTTTCATACACAATATGACATTCTCTCATAATGATTTTAATGCCTTGCATGACGTGATATGATTTTAAAAAATAGTATATATAGTATTATAAAATTATTTTCGTGTTATTCTTAATTGAAAAACACTAATTTAGATGATGAATGCACGTTTGAGTATCGTCAATGAATTTATTGTTCATTTTTTGTAAATACAACGTTTCAAGACAACGTATTTTACACGTTGCAAGTTAATGTTACGAGCACGTTGTGTGTAGGAGGAGGTCTACAAAAATATCTTTGCAACTTCTATGTAAAGCAGCAGAAACGCCATTTTATTAACTGACCTGACAAAATTTTCCGAAAACAATTTCATTAATAATTATTTGTACTACTTTGCCATGCCTTGAAAAAATTTAAAAAATGGAAGCTGAAAAGAGTACTTAACTGATATGTAATATAGGTCCTCCTATATGGCAGTGAATGCTGGACAATCTCCTCACAGACGAAAAATATTGATTGGTTTGCTTTTTACGGCTTATCAACCTTTTACAGGTTATTTAATGCCAGAACATATTTTTTAGATTGAAAGTATTTCTGTGGAGCTGATAATGATTTGCTGGTATTTTAGTATTTAACTCATAATTGAGAGGTAGAAGTGCTGTATTAATACCTTTCCCAATGGTATTTACGCGTAAGTGAATTTAAGGAACCCGAGTGGAATTGGAACTCGCCTCTCCGATTTGCAATTCCGAGCCATTATCCCTTACACTACCCGTACATCGAAGCTTGGTATCCCTAGCTAATTACTGACCAGGCTTGACGTTGCTTAATTTCGGTGATCGTACGAGAATTGGTAAGCCAGATGATGAAGAGATTATGGCTGCCAAAAAGGACATTCTACAGAAGGATACTGAGAATACCACGGATGACGATGTTTTAGAGAAAATGAAAGCAAAAAGTACATTTATACTTAACACCAGAAAGAGACAGTTGAAATATTTAGAACATATAAGGAGGAATGCGGCTTTTTGACGCTGAAAGGAACCCTTTGATGGCATGGGGGACAGAGGAAAACAGCGTATAACCGACCTAACGAATTGAGAAAAGAACGAGTTAAGAGGGAGAGCGAAATGTTCCCAAGGTTTACAAGGGGACAGGGAGTTGTGGAGAGCCATGATCGTTCACGGCCTAAAGGGACACAACACAGAAAAAAAATCCTATTTTTAGTACAAAACATTAACTAGTAGGCACCAGGTGTGTCTCGAACTTACTACAAAGTAATAATGATCTTTGAGATGAGTTGGTTAAGCATTCATTACATAAGACTGACGAGCCCAGAGAAAGATTAATGTATAGAAAAGAATAAATTAGAACAAAAGTGGTTTGCAGAGAAAAATAAATAAATAAATCAATTGAAGATGAATTCCAAGAGTTTTTTGCTTTTTTTTTTTTTTTTTTTTTTTTTTTTTTTTTTTTTTTTTGTTTTTTTTGTTTTTTTTAAAAAAATCAGATGATTGTTTTAAATAATATCTCTCATAGGATTGTAAAAATGCCAGCTGTGATTGAACATTTCAAAATTGTTTATAGAAGACGGAAGAAATAGAGAACAGAGAAGAGGGCTAATGGGAAAATAATTAAATAATTTATCTTATTACAGAAATAAGTTAGTCGGAAGAAATGTTCCCAAAGAATAAAAGAGATGCCAAGATTATATGAATATACAAATCGATAGACACGGCAATGTAATCGGAATTTTAATTTGGAATCAGCTGGATCAGAAGATCTGTTCGGGAAATAAACGTCGTCATTAAAGTTCTGAATATAATTATCTGGTTAATGTTATTCGTACTACAAGCAGTCGATCTACCAGAGTCTCGTTATCTCTTTCTTTCATTTCTATCATGCTTTCCCCCCCCTCCACCAAACCCGCTCCTTAATTAGTTTCTATCAATCTAATTGCCTGTCTTTTCTTATCTATCTATCTATCTATCTATCTATCTATCTATCTATCTATCTATCTATCTATCTATCTATCTATCTATCTATCTATCTATCTATCTATCTATCTATCTTTTCCTTTCCCTTATTTTTCTTTCTCTCTGTTTATATTTCCTTCCTTCCTTCTGACCCTCCCATATCTATCTATCTATCTATCTATCTATCTATCTATCTATCTATCTATCTATCTATCTATCTATCCTTTCCTTTCCTTTATTTCTTTCTTTGTATCTGTTTATATTTCCTTCCTTCCTTCCTTCCTTCCTTCCTTCCTTCCTTCCTTCCTTCCTACCCTCCCCTATCTATCTATCTTTTAATTCTTTTCTTTTTCCTTCTTGCTTTCATTCAGTTTCTATCTATCTATCTCTCTATCTCTCTATCTATCTATCTATCTATCTATCTATCTATCTATCTATCTATCTATCTATCTATCTATCTATCTTTATTTATTTATTTATTTATCTATTTATTTATATATTTATTACTAATAAAACTCATCAATCCTTCTCTCTATCATTCTTTCTTCGTTCCTTTATTCCTTTCTTCCTTCACTTCCCTATTTTTTTATTTTAATTACTTCTTTCTTTCTTTCTTTCTTTCCAAATTTTTTATCTTAATTCTTTCTTTCTTTCTTTCTTTTTTCAAGTCAGTTTCTATCTATCTATCTATCTATCTATCTATCTATCTATCTATCTATCTATCTATCTATCTATCTAGCTTACAAATAAAACTCCTTAAGCTCTCTTTTTTCTCTCTATCATTCTTTCTTCCTTTCTAAGCCTGTTTCCATCTATTCTCTCTCGGTCCTTCCAGATGTTACAATAAAATTGACAATACTTTGCTTGCATGCGTCTTATGGTCGGCTAGACTCTGGAGGATCGGAAAATTAGTCTGTAAGTGCATATTATTTGAGGATGAACATGGGATACGTGGACGTAGATGTCTCCAAATTATGGGTCAAAGCTGATAATTTCAATAAAATGGGGGAAAAGGAAATTGTTTTATGCAACGACATATAAACGGGAAGCAACCTAATTGCTGGTCTTCATGCAACCATTTCTTGTAAAATGAATCAGATAGACAACATCTTTGAAGGGTTGTTTATAAATGACACCCTACTACACCACTTTCGAGCAGTACGGTCAGTATCATCATCTTTGCCAAATACTGTATTTCTACGGATTGCTTTTAATTTTGTTGTTGTACTTCTATGTGCCGTGTTCCTTCTGGACGTGGTCGATCAAGGCTCTCCACAATTTCTTGTCCTTTATAGATTTTAGCAACGGTTCCCCTTATTCAAATACTCTTTTTCAAAGCATTCTAAGCATCCTTTTATATAACCACAACGCTGTCGCCTCCAGTTTTCTCTTTATCTGTGAGGAGCTTGCCATATTGGAGAATTGATATCACGTTCAGCACTCGTTTCTTTGTTTCTAACATTTTTTATCTCTTTCCTGGTACTTTGCTTCGCTTTTAGAATGTATCTTTTGCTATCCCAATTTGTCTTCGGATTTCGGTGTCACATTTTCCATTCCATCCAGGAATTTTAAATTCTCTTCTTGTTTGGTCTTATAATCTCCAATTTGGTGTTCGCATTTTGGGCTTTTTCTCTTGCTGACAACCATAAATAGACAATCGACCTTGGGTCTGCTGTTTGATTTCACTCATTACTACTGTAAGTATATTTACTCAAATATTTACTTACAAAAATGGTTGGTATATATTTTTAAAATAACAGCTAAAATAATAAACATATCTAAAATCAATCGAAAAGAATGGCAGATACATCGACATCGACAGGGTTACGCAGAGGATACCTAAATAGAGAAATAAAAATCCTTAAAAGAAAATTACATGAATGTCTTAAGAGCTAGCTATATGAAAAAAGCAATAACAAATGCAGTCTGTATGGAAGTATAGATGAGATAATGTATATAAGAAATGTGAATACAGCAAATTGGCCTAAAAAAAATAGGCATTATTGGGTGAGGATGGTGACCCATTGGGAATCTATGCCAACGTTGCTCTTCAAAAATTTAAATCCAGTATCAATCGTGATCTACTGTCCTCCTGATTACTCTTCTATTGTTCTCGCTCCTTAATAATATTTCTCTTATTTTCTTATTTTTTTCATACACAGTATGACATCCTCTCATAATGATTTTAATGCCTTGCTTGGCGTGATATAATTTAAAAAAAAAATAGTATGTATAGTATTATAAAATTATTTTCGTATTTTCTAATTGAAAAACACTAATTTAGATGATAATTGTTACCTATTTGTCTTCCTGACTACTCTTTTCTCCTCCTGTTCTTTATTAATGTTTCTATTCCTAATTCATCCACACCTTGTAGCTCCTTGTATCTTAGTGGCTTTATTTGCTAGAGTAATACCGATTAAAAAGAAAAGGAAGATGATTTACAATCGCCGAAGCATAACAGAAACATGAATAGAAAATTTTTAAAAATTCTAAGTAATGCGATTATATCAAAATTTCAAATAATAAATCGAAAAGAATGGCAGATATATCGACATGGTCAGGGTTAAGCAGAAGAAACCTAAATAGATTTTAGCAATTAATGAATGCCTTAAGCGCTATATAAAAAACAATAGCAATGAAGACTATGGAAGTATAGATGAGATAATGAATATACGAAATGTGACTATAGCAAATTGGCCTTAGGCATTATTGGGTGAGGATGGTGACCCGTTAGGAATCTGTGTCAACCTTGTTCTTCAAAAAATTTAAATCGAATATCAATCGTGATCTATGTCCTCCTGATTTAATATTTCTTATTTTCTTATTTTTTCATACACAATATGACATTCTCTCATAATGATTTTAATGCCTTGCATGACGTGATATGATTTTAAAAAATTATATTAGTATTATAAAATTATTTTTGTTATTCTTAATTGAAAAACACTAATTTAGATGATGAATGCACGTTTGAATCGTCAATTTTATTGTTCATTTTTTTTGTTAGTACAACGTTTCAAGACAACGTATTTTACACGTTGCAAGTTAATGTTACGAGCACGTTGAGCATAGGAGGAAGTCTACAAAAATATATTTGCACATAAACTGATGTTTGTAGTAAGCTGCTAGAATTTGAACCTTGCCGCCAATATTGTTTTATTGCAAATAGCAATCTGGCAAAAAGGTGTCTGACATGAAAGTGTATATGAATCACAGGTGTATCATTGCTCTCACTAAATCTCATCAATGATTGTTCAACGTTTTAGAAGACTACAGTTATTATGTTTCAGCCGTGGCAACAACACGAGCTTTTGATCATCGCTGACAAATATGCACTCCCGAAAATCTTATTAAAGTTAGTTACAGAAAGTTTGGAGAATTTGGCTCTCACCAGACCAACTGAAAACAAGATGATCAATGGCAGACGGTCTTATATAAATGGATGGCAGAACGAACTACAAAGGACAGTATGCCGAAGAAAGCGATAATTACTAACCTTCAGAAGGGATGCAGTACATTTTTTTTTCCTGACAAGCAATATAGCTTTCGTTTGTTCAGGTCAACTACTGATGTACTGACAATAATGGCGGTAAGATTCTACCATGCTCTAGCTAAAAACAGTGAAGCCCGGGCTGTAGCTTTGGACATCTCGAAATACTTTGACAAGGTTTAGCATACAGGTCTTCTCCACAAGTTGAAAAGTTACGGTGTCTCCGGACATATTTTTGAATTGATTTCTATCAAATCGTGAAATGAAATTTATCCTGAACTGCCGCCCGTGGAGATCAGTTCGTGTTAACGTGGGTATCCACCAGGGTACCATCTTTGGTCATATTACTCTGATTTTATTATTAGGTAATGATTTTCTGATGACATTAGCTCTCAACTACTATCTACGATGACGACACAACCGTTTATTCCTACCTCAATAATAAGGCTGATTAGACAAAGTCAAAACCATATTACTGTTGCTTTGCTTTATTACTGTTAATTTGCCTTGCATATATTGTTTACTTGCTTAATATTACTTTTTTTTTTTACCTCGTTCATTTCTTTTTCTTGTTATTGCTTATTGCAAACTTTGTCAATTCTTTTTGTTGGACAGTTCTGTTACTTATTTTCCATTTGATCATGGCTGCTCAGTTCACACATCTAGAAGACATCAAAGCTGAAAATAACCAGACTACTGATAGTGTCTACATTTATTATTATTAATATTATTTTCATAAAATAAAAGATGATGTATGGTTAGCGTACCGGTTATCGGCGCCGAAAGTAAAATTAGCGTCCAGATTTCAAATTGCAGACTATTTTATGTAATAAAATGTATATGATCTTAGATTATGGTACTTTTTTTCCAAAAATGTTCAGTGGAAAATGTTATGATGCTATTTCTGGTATTAGGTTTGTAGTTGATACGCAGAAAGAAATTAGTAGACAAGAGAAGTAAAAGGAAACAATAATAATAATAATAATAATAATAATAATAAGCAATTCCAAGTTCATGTTTGATGAGTTTACTGGTTTCTTCCTGCGTTTTATCACAAAGTTTAGGCCAAGCCGTTCATGCATTTTTCGACCGTTATGCAAAGTAGTTCTTCATACCGCCCGGATATGCGTTTCCAGTTCGGATTCACAGACGCGCAACAGATCTGTTATTACTTTTTTTAAATAATCAATGTAGGTAAGAAGCTTTTGTATACAAAAAAAAATGCCGAACAGCATAAGCAAAAGACCTTAAAAGCTGTGGCTATAAATGTTAAAAAAAAAAAAAAATTAGCATCTATGAGAGCAGAAGGGTTAAAAAATAATTTGGATTTTAACCAAGTCTCTCTCTCCTCCCACCTTCTCCTCTCTCTCTCTCTCTCTCTCTCTATATATATATATATATATATATATATATATCTTTGTGTGTGTGTGCGCGCACGAGCACGCTTAATTTACGGAGAACAGGGCCACAATTAGAGGGGGTTATGCTGTGGGCTTCCTACCAGGTATGTTTTTACGGAATGAAGTTACATCCACAACAAAAATCGATTTTGAATATATATATAGGGACCTCCACACACAAAAAAAAAAACGAAAAAAAAACGTGATACCTAATGTTTAAAATAAATTTTTGAAAATTTTGGGTAATATTAGCTGAGTTAATGTATAATTAATCTGATTGGAAACAAATATTACTTAAGTTCTAAATATCACAGAAATGCATTTTTTAACACAACAGCTACGAGAGTAGCTGTGTTTTTAATCGACAGTAATCCCAGTGACGTATTTGACAATGTGATGACAGATCTAATGTTGTTCTACGGAGACTTTATCTGTGAAACATAATTGAAGAAAATGACGTGAGCGCCTTTTTTTATTTAATTTTTAATTACTCAGTATTCGTAATGTAATATCTTAATGAATTTTACAAATTTTGCGTTTAAATTTTCTATAGTCATTGCTCACATTTTCTGATAATGCCGTGTATGGTCGCCCGTATTTACAAAAATCATCACGTTTTTACACTAATAACAAAATTTAAAATTATTTTTAAAATATTGGTGTTTGATGATTTGCATTAAGCAATTCCATTTATGATTAGTAAATAGTTTTCACTTAGTAATAATATCATCAAAAGCGCTGAAATTAATACAGAATTTTAAAAGATTTAAAACATAATATTTTTTCTAATTAAAATTTTAAAAATAAAAATAATTCTTGTAAAAATTCATTATTCCTCGAGAAAATGTTTTGTCTTAAGGCAATATTGTCCTTAATATGTTTTATATATAAAAATGACTAAAATCTT